GAAACCCAAGGAGGGGTCGCTATGAGTCAGGTCCGACTTGACGGCACATAACAACAACAACAAAAATAAATAGGGAGCTCTGGTGGGATAGTGCCTAAGACATGTGACTGTTAACCAGAAGGCAGACGGCTCAAATCCACCAGCCACTCCTTGGAAGGAAGGTTGGGCAATCTACTTCCGTACACATACCGCCTCGGAAACCCAAGAAGGGTTTACTATGAGTCGGGTTCGACTCAACAGCAGTGAGTTAAACATAAATAAATAAAAGGAATCAGATGACATTGCACTGGGCAAATCTGCTGCAAAAGACCTCTTTCAAGTGCTGAAGAGCAAAGATGTCTCTCTGAAGACTAAGGTGCGCCTAACCCAAGCCATGGTATTTTCAATCACATAATATGCATGTGACAGCTGTACAATGAATAAGGAAGACCGAAGAAGAGTTGATGCTTTTGAGTTGTAGTGTTGGAGAAGAATACTTAAAAGTACCATGGACTGCCAGAAGAACTAACAAATCTGTCCTGGAGGAAGTGCAGATGGAACGCTCCTTGGAAGTAAGAATGGCCAGACTTGGTCCTACCTACTTTGGTCATGTTGTCAGAAGGGACCATTCTCTGGAAGGATGTCATTCTTGGTAACGTGGAGGGTCAATGAACAAGGGGAAGGCCCTGAACAAGATGGACTGACGCAGTGGCTGGACTGACGGGCTCAGGTGTAGCAAGGATTGTGAGGCTGGTACAGAACTGGGCAGTGTTTCGTTCTGTTGTACACAGGGTCACTATGAGTCTGAGCTGATTCAACAGCACCTAACAACAATATTATAAAAGAAAGGAGCTTTCCTTTTATTCTTAAATGGTGCCATGATTACATTTGGCTGTTAACCAAAAGGTCAGTGGTCCAAACCCACCAGCTGCTCTATGGGAGAAAGATGACACAGTCTCCTTTCATAAAGATTTACAACCTCAGAAACTCTGGGGCAGTTCTATCTGTCCTATAGGGTTATTATGAGTTGGAATTGACCCCATGGTAGTGGGTTTGATTTGGGAATTCTAAAAGAGAAACTCTTTCACACGGGACTGCCAAGGGTAAGAAGATGTAAGCCAGGAGCCACCATGTAGAGAGAGAAAGATATGATGAGATGACAGCATTTGAATCCTAAATCTAGCCATGCTGAAGTCTGAACTTCCTGTTATGAGAGCTGATCCATTTCCATTTCTGCTTAAGCCACTTAGACTTCTATTTCTGTCCCTTGCAACCATGAGTCCTAATACACAATCTTAGCCAGAACTGAGAAATTAATTTATTCTAAACTGTTATCAGCAGTATGTGCTAAACATCACAGGAGCGCTTTAATGTAAACAAAGTGGCTCAAAGACAAAGTCTCCCATGTCTGAATCTCAGGAATCAATCAGGGGTGTCGGGGGGGCACGCCAGGCACAGAGGCTGCCCCAGGACTCTTCTGTGGGGGTAACTGCTCACTCATCTCTGCATAAAGTTAGCTTAGTGGCTGGCACCTGTGAGCAATGAAAACTGGTTATGTGTGGGTAACTCTACCTGTCTGGTAAGGCTGCCTCCAAGGTTCATGGTGCCAGAGCCAGATTTGTTGGTTTGCAGCCACAGCATCACCGTGGAGGTCAACTTGTAATGGGCGGTGCGACCACTGGATTTTTCCTGGTGGGGGATGAGACAGAGAAATCAGACAGACCAAAAAAAAAAAGCCTTAGGCACAAGGAGAGCCTGATGGGTCCTTTGAAGGGTCATTCTAATGCGTCCCTTCCTAACGCATTACCCCAACATTACTTTTCTTCTTAAATCACAAAAGGTTTTTAAAGAGAAAGAATCTGAAATCATGTGTATGAAGTCCTTTGAGGATTTTTACCATCAATGACTCCTGCAATTGTGACTTATCTTTATCCAAATGGCTTTAGGGTGATTTTAGGAATCAACAGGGGTTTATGTACTATAGTACTCCCCTTAAAGAAGTGTTTGCTAGAGAATGTGCCGCACAGAACAGGTGTTCAGTGTGGTACTTGTACTTATAGGCCCGAGCCGCCAGCTGCTGGGGCTGTACCTGCACTTCAACCACGTGGATGGAATCCCAGCAGCCTTTGATCTTCTTTGATCCATCTCCAGCCTTCTTTATGAGGATCACTCCAGCAAAGCCATGATCCAGATCCCAGAGGTAGACAGATGAGACACCACCTTCAAAATACCTGCAGGACACAAGCCCATGTGCCCATTAGTTTTATAATCTGTTAAGGTTATAAACCTTGGTCCCAGGGGTTATCATTTGGCAAAGATTCATCTAAACGTCCATCTAAGATTAAGGACTCAGGTAATGGTCTGTAATAGACCTGCAATGGTCCCAGGGTTGACCTTGGATGTGTCTTGAACATTCTGGTGTGTGTATGTGTGTGTGTGGGGTGGTGGTGGTGGTGGTTGCAGCATACTTTGTGGAGGAGGGGTAACATACTGAACATGAGCTTAGGAGTCATGAAGATGAATCTGAATTGAGCTCTGTCACTTAGACCAATTTTGTGACCTCTGGCAAGCTTACTAAACTTCTCTGGCCTTCAGATTCCTCAAAGATCACAGATCCAGCAATGGCTGACATGCAGTAACAAAAAACAGTAGCTACTACCAATGATGTAATCATTATTGTTTGATAGTTTGATCTTTTCGGATGGCTATTTTAAAGGGGAATTAGAGGGGAAAGAGAGAGCAGCAAACTCCTCCCAGCTGCAGATCCCTCTAGACCCTGGGTAAACCAGGCCTTCCATCGGCCAGTCTTTAAAGAGCAACTTGCTGCACTCTCTACCAGTGAAGGGCTAGTGTGGGACAAAGCTTCTTTTCATGTTTGAGTTAATACGGAAAAAGCTCCTAGCTGAGATGAGATGGAAGAGGGAAAGAAAAGGCCAGGATTCCAAATCCAAGAGACCCAAGTCAACTGCTGTGGTCGGGATCAAAGGGGCTCAGAACCACTGGGAGAATCGGCTGATACTGATGCATACGTATCACAGCCCCTCAAATTCTGCTAGTAACCAACCAAAGTCCTGGCAGATCTTGCTTACCTGGCTAAACAAACATTCTGTATTTTTTGAAAGAAAGTGTTATATTGCATTTTGTGTGTATGAACATTTTATTATGGTTTAGTTGAAAGTTTACAGAGCATATTAGCTTCTCATTCAACGGTTTGCACACATTTTGTTTTGTGACATTAGTTGCTCTCCCCTCAACTTAACAGCACTCTTCCCACTTCCTCCCTTGGCTCCCCGTTTCCATTTGCCCTTCTTTCTTGCCCCTTCCTGCCTTCTAAACTTTGTTTTTGGGCAAAAGCTGCCTTTCTGGTCTCCTATGGTTGACTGTTCTGAAGAGTATGTTCCTCCCTGGCATCATTTTTTACTTCAGCTGAAAGGTGATCCTTGGAGGTAGATTCAGTTCCAGATCTGAAGGGTGTCTAAGGGCAACAGTCTCAGGAGTTCACCAGATTCTATCAGAATAATAAATTTGGTCTTTTTTGGTGAGTTTGAATTTTGTTCCATGTTTCTCTCCCACTCTGTCCACAACCATCTACTGGGATCCCAATCAGAGTAGTGGCAGTGGTGGCTGGGCATGGTCCAGTAGCCCTTTGGAAAAATTGTTTACTTGAGACTTGATTTTCTTCACTCTTCTTTGCTCCACATGGGGAGAGACCAATACTTACATGTTAGATGGCTGCTTGCAAGTTTTTCAGACCTCAGTCACTACTTACCAAAGTAGGATGGAGAACACTGTCTTTGTGGACTATGTCATGCCAATTGACCTGGATGACCCCATGACTTTGGTTCTAAGCCCTCAAGCCCAGTGACTCAGTCCCTCAAGGTGTTTGGTTATAGATAAGAATTTTTCATGACTTTGCACCCTGTATGCTCTACTGTATACATAGATGTATTTGCAGCACATACAAATCTGTATACAGAAACATCCTCTGCTAAAACTGTACATGCTTATGGGTGTACTCCCATATGCCATCGCACATCTGTTCAACCTGCCTATCTACCTACATATACACTCATGTTTGTCATTACTGTTACTGCAGGACTGTGTATATAACAGTATTGACCACTGTGGCCTTTTTACTCTTGTGTACCTTCTAGTGTCTTCCTTTGCCTCAGTCATGCTGTACTGATCTCTCCTTTTTTGTACATTGCCATTCCCTTCACCCAAATTATGTCCGCTCTCTAGTTGGTGATTTTCTCTCCCTCTCCCTCCCATCCCTTGTAATCATCAAATAATGCTTCTTTCTCTGTGTAAACCTTCTCTTAATTTTTTCTAATATTTATCCTTTTGTGATTGACTTATTTCACTTAGCATAATATTCCATGGTACATAGATACCACAGTTTATCCATCTGTTGCTGGGCACTTAGGTTGTTTCCATCTTCTTGCTATTTTGAACAGTGCTGTGATTAACACAGGCATACATACATCTATTTATAACTTGGCTCTTAAAGGAGCTCTGGTAGCATAGTGCCTAATGCATTTGATTGCTAACCAGAAGGCTGGCAGTTCAAACCCACCAACTACTCCTCAGAAGGAAGATTGAGCAATCTACTTCCATAGTGAAACCACCTCAGAAACCCAAGGAGGGGTCGCCATGAGTCAGATCTGACTCGACAGCAGTGAGTTTGGTTTTGTTTGGTTTATCCCAGCTCTTATTTCTCTAGGACATACACTTAATAGTGGGATTGCTGGCTCATATGGTATCTCTCTTTCTAACTTTTTAAGGAAGTACCACCATTTTCCTCAGCAGTAGTATCATTTTACAATACCAACCACCAGTGTTTAACAGTTCCAAACTCTCCACATTCTGGCAAGCATCTGTTTTCTGTTTTTTTGATCACAGATATTATCGGTGTGAGATCATATCTCACTGTTGTTTTGATCTGCATCTCTCTAATAGCTAATGATCATGAGCATCTCTTCATGTAATTTGCTGGTTCCCTGAATGTCTTCTTTGATGGAGTGTCTCTTCATGTCTTTTGCCCATTTTTCAACTGGATTCTTTTTTCTTTAAGAGCTTGTATTACATTCAACGTAACACGTACATTTAGTTTCATTCCCCATTTGCCATGTCCAACCCTAACCAGTCTCCTCCCCTCCCTACCCTATAACCCTTCCTCTGTGCCCCTCATATTTATGCACTCCTGTTTGTCCTGTATTTCCTCAGTTTGGATGCTGGTCCCCTGGTGTCTCATGGTCTATTGCTCTGTTGTTGTTGCTGTTAAGTGCCGTCGAGTCATTTCTGACTCATAGCGACCCCATGCACAGCAGAACGAAACACTGCCCAATCCTGCACCAGCCCCACAATCCCTGCTATACTTGAGCCCATCATTGCAGCCACCGTGTCAATTCATCTCGTTGAAGGCCTCCCCCTCTTTCGTCGACCCTCCACCCTACCAAGCATGACATCCTTCTCCAGGGAATGGTCCCTTCTTACAACATGACCAAAATAGGTGAGACGAAGTCTGGCCATTCTTGCTTCCAAGGAGCAGTCTGGCTGCACTTCCTCCAGGACAGATCTGTTAGTTCTTTTAGCAGTCCACGGTACTTTCAGCATTCTTCGCCAGCACCACAACTCAAAAGCATCAACTCTTCTTTGGTCTTCCTTATTCATTGTCCAGCTCTCACATGCATACGAGGCGACTGGAAATACCATGGCTTGTGTCCTTATTCATTGCTCTAAGGGATGTATTACCATAGAGTATGTGCATCATCCTGAGTTGAGTGGTCTGCATGTACATCTTGTTAACTATTGGGCTGAGAGCCCGCCCCTGGGGGTGAGTTTTATTCCAGGCGCAGAATGCATTCCAAGTCCATAGTATTGGGAGTCTCACCAGATTTCATCGGACCAGTAACTCTAGTCATTTCAATTGGATTCTTTATTGTTTTGTTATTGAGGTGCCGAAGTTTTCTATGATGTTAGAGATTAGTTCCTTGTCAGCTATGTCATTGCCAATTTTTTTTTCTCCAATCTGGAGGTTATCTCTTTTGGAGCAATCTTTTGATGCACCTAAGTGTTTAATTTTTAGGAGGTCTTAGACTTGGTTTAACTCCTGCTGTTTGGGCCTTTTTATTTATGTTTGACAGACTATTTATGCCATAACTTAGGCATAAATAAGTTTGCCCCTATTTTTCCTTTGATGATCTTTACAGTTTTAGGTTTAACATTCAGGTCTTTAATCCATCTTGAGTTAGTTTTTGGATACAGCATGAGGTATGTCTCCTGTTTCATTTTTCTGCAAATGGATATCCAGTTTTGCCAGCACCACTCATTAAAGAGATGGTCTCTTCCCCCACTTAATGGATATCAGCCTTTTGTCAAAGATCAGCTGTCCATACCAAACCAAAAACACCAAACTCACTGCTGTCAAGTCAATTTGACTCATAGCAACCTCTCCTTGGGTTTCCAAGGCGGCATCGCTACGGAAGTAGATTGCCCAATCTTCCTTCTGAGAGTGGCTGGTGGGTTTGAACCACTAGCCTTCTGTTTAGCAGTCAAATGCCTTAGGCTGTCCATAGGTGAATGGATTTACTTCTGGGTTCTCAATTCTGTTTCACCAGTGTTAGTGTCTGGCGTTGTACCATCATAAGGCTGTTTTAACTAGTGTGGCTGGGGAGTAGGTTTTTTCTTTTTTATTGTGATTTGGGTGAAAGTTTACAGAGCAAATTCACTTTCCATACAGCAGCTCACATAAACTTTGTCTCATGACATTGACTACAATTTTACCCCAATGCAACAGCTCCCCTCCCACTTCCTCCCCATAGTTACCACTTCCCAGTGTCCATCCCTCCATATTCTATCACATGGTGTACCCGTCACCAGGACTAACAGTTTCCATGAATCTTTGGTTTTCTTCATTCTTCTTTGCTCTGGATGAGAAGAGACCCATCGTTGCATCTAGATGGCTGCTTGCAAGCCTTTAAGATCCCAGCTGCTCCTCACCAAAGTAAGATGTGGAACAATGTTTTGTGTAGTATGTTATGCCAATGAGTTTGATGTCCCCTGCAACTCTGGTCCCTGAGCCCTTAAGTCCAACTACTCATTCTCTCTGGGTAGCTGGCTGTGGCTAAGAAGTGACTACAACCTTGTCCCTTGTCAGCTCTACTATGTATCTGGGAATTCTTACGGAACATACCAATACACTTGTAGAAACACTGTCTGCCAACCCTAT